CACACACACACACACACACACACACACACACACACACACACTATCTGTCACGTATACTACGTTTACGCGAGCGTTACTTCTGTATGTACTTATATATAATAATTCCTCCACGTAAAGCGGGGTTTTGTAGTAGTTTATGATAATTCATCCCGCGTAATAAACGAGTAAATTATCGTAAATTACTATACAGAAGTAACGCTCGCGTAAACATAATAACGATCACGACTGTCACTATAATACCTATCTCCGATCCGCTGATATTTCGCGTGGCACTTCGATCCTTGCGTGACGCGACCGAAATTCAGAATTAAAGATTTTATATTTATAATAATGATGAGAGATCACATTAATAATAATATTAACCTCGCGACACGACGCGGGACGATTAACCTCGAGAGCTGTCACATCACGACACACACACGACGCACTACACGCACGAAGCTCGCACGAAACTCGCCACACTCCGCGATGACAGTCCCTCACGGGATGAAGCAAGCTACGGCGCGGCAATCAATCGAGATAACCAATCAGCATCGCGGTAAAAAGGCAACAATAAATTCGACTATCGACTTAACACGGCAATTTTAAGATAGGACTAGAACAACACAGGCGCGCGCTTTTATTTTATTTCACGACAATACAACTATACATTTTTTATATTTTTATTAGAAGTGAAGAGGTAAGTCGCTTATATCGACATAGGTCCTCTAAAGCGACACTTCCTTATTTCTCAAAAACTAAACACCGCATTTTATTAATGCTGATGAGGACATAATTTACTTATATAATTAAAGACGTAAAAACCCTTACTTTATACATTTATTGATTTTTATATATAAAATATGCTAAAAACGAATCATTCAAAAGCAATTATTAAAAATAAAATTTACCCAAATCTCTTTTACTAATTGTACAGTTTAAATAATAGTGAATATATTATTGATAATATTAGATCATTTTACATGTTTGTAACGTCCTAAAACTATTTAAATTTTTCTTTTTTATCTTGCTGTGAAATTATGAAACAAATTTACTGGCAAATGCTGTCGGGATACTGCTAACATTTTGCTATGTGGGGTAAAGCAATTGTGAAGCAACACACAGTAACAGACTACGAAGGTAGAAAACGAAAGGTTTCAAGTTCAAATCCTGATCGGCTTTGTTAATTTTTCCGTTTACCCCTCTCGCTGTCCAAAATTTCTTTCCGTATCTTTCCTCCATCCTCACTACACTCCTTGTTTTCTCGTATATTTCCATGATTCTCTTTCCCAACTTCTCATTCACCCCTGGTTTTTTCAGACATCTTCCCAAAACCCTCTGTCCACTGAATCAAATGCCGCCCTTGGATCTAAAAAGCAGCCACTACCTTCTTTTCCCTCTTTAATCGCTTCCCTATCGCATAATTCAATGTGTAAATGTTGTCCACCACTCCTCTCCTCTTCCTAAACTCTGCTGGGCTTTCTGGAATCATCCCCTTCTCCACCATCTCTTCCCTCAACCTATTTGCTAATATCGACGCGTACATTTTGTACGCCGACGGTATCAGCGTAATCCCTCTATGTTTACTACCTCTTTTGCCCCTCTTTTTCGCTATCGGAACGACTACTCCGTCCTTCCACGCCTCTGGAAAACCCTCTCCTTTCCATACTCTCCCATAACGCCTTTCTTAAACCACTTCCCCCATAACTCCACACTTCATTTCCTATCTAGTCTTCTTCCGCTGCTTTACCTTCTTTCAGCCCTTTCAGCACTCTCTCTACTTTCTTCCATCTTATCTCCTTCTCTTTCTCCACTTCCCCATCCGATCCCTGCTCTCCCTCCTCTCCTAGAAGAAGCCTTCGCTTGTATTCCGTTTCTTCTAACATCTTCCTAAATTATTTATCCCACTCCTCTAATGTTATCTCTTTATTAATTTCTACCCTTCTTCTCTTTTCCTTGTTTATTACTTCCCACACCTGCTTCTCTGTTCTCGCTTCTCTTGCCTCTTTCAACAGATTTCTCTTTTCTTCTTTTTTCCTCACACTTTTCCTTATACTCCTTTCTTCTCTTATGATCTTTTTTGTGTTTTCTTCCTTTTTTCCAGTCTCTTAATAATTTTTCTATCTCCTCCCTCTTCTTCCTACAGTCCCCATCCCACCATACTCCCTTTTCTTCTGCCCCTTTTTTTACTCTTCTCAACCTTACTTCCATCTTAATTTTTTTTGTTAACTTTTCGACCTCTTTATCTATTGCCCCCCCTACCTATTTCTACCTCCTCCGTTCTTCTTCAAAACTCCTCTCTTGCCTCTTCCGACCAATCCGTCTTTTCCACCCACCTCTTTTCCTTCGCTATTGTCCTTCTCCTCTCACCACCACCCCCTTTGTTCAACCGTACTGCTACTGATTGGTGATCCAAATCTACCTCACATAATCTACCTTTAATCTTGTAACTATTTCCCAAGCTTTTCTATCTCTTATTGCGTAATTGATCACTGTTTCCCCCTTCCTCCTGTAAAAGTCGCCTCCCTCTCCTCACCTCCCTCCTTTGCTTCGTTCATAATTTCCCACCCTTCCTCTTCCACCCATCTAATCAGCCCTTTTTCCTACCTATTTATCATTTTATCTTTCGATTTTCTTTCAGCTCCCTCTTCTCTATCCTCCAGCGCTCCTTTCTCCCCTGTTCTCGCATTGAAATCGCCCCCACTATCCATTTCTTCTCTCTCCCTTCCTCCTCTTTTACCGATTTTATCTTACCCATTACCTTGTCCAAGTTGCGCTTACGTAAACTGTTGCCAATCTCCATTTCTCCTTCTTCTATCTTACTTATCTAATCATTAAACCTTTCTCCTCCACCCATTCTTCTTCCTTTTTTAACCCTTCTCTGACTTCCATCATTATTCCACCTATTGCTTTTTCTTTTCTTCCAACTCTTTCTTTCTTTGCACCCTGTATACTCCAGAACTTCTTTGGCACCCTATTCTTCATCTTCTCCCATTCCTCCCGTTCCAGCCACGTCTCCACCAACCCCGACATTCCACTCTTTTATCCTTTCCCAAAACTTCCTGTTTTTCCTTCACTCCCGCTACATTCCAAAAGTTTATCTTTAGGCTTCCTTCCTGTTCCTTCCTTTTTTCCTTCCTCTTTAATTCTTTTCTTCCCCCTTCTTTTTTTCTCCCCTCTTTTTCCTCTCTTTCACTCCTTTTTACTTTCCCCACTTTACTCTCTCTGACTCCTTTCCCCCCTCCCCTCAGCCTCTCCACACTCCCTTTTTTCCTGCTCTCCCTCTCCTCCCTCTTCTCTCCACCCTACCCTCCCATCGTTTTTCCTCCCTTCTCACTATCCTTTTTTTTCATTTTTCCGTCTCCCTCTTTTCTACCCTTTCCCTCTTCCTCTGTTTCTTTTTCTCCCCCCCCCTCCTTCTTGTTCCTCTTTCTCATTTTCCCTTCCATCTGTCAGGACTTCTTTTTCCTCATCCCAACTCCATCACTTCCCCTCTATCCAAATCTTTCCGTACTTTACCCAAGCTCTCCTTCTATTCTTTCTCTCCTTCTCAGCTATCCTCTCCAGGCTCCATTACATTTTTCTTTCCTTCAAGGTCATGTCATTTTCTATTCTTTCCATCCTTCTTTTCCACATATTCTTTCTCTGCATTACTTCACATTTTTTTACTCTATCCTTTAATCTTACTAAAACCATCTTCTTTTCTTCCCCGTTTTTCTTCCTATCTTTTTTACCTCCTCTATTCCTCTCTCTACCCCCGTCTCTAGCCATAGCTTCTCTACCGCTCCTTTTAGCCTTCCCTCCTCCACCTCTACCCTTTTCACTACTACATTGTTCCTCTTTTTAGTTAGTTATAATTAACAAATTAATAGTTTACATATTTATATATTTGTATATAAGGTGTGCCATTTTAAACGCCCCAGACAAATATCTCGAAAAATATGGAAGATATGAAAAAACGTTTTAGACAAAAAATGCATCAAAGAGGACAGATAATGATAAAACCAATTTTCAAATAAATAAATTTTTTAAGGTCACATAAAGGTCATCGCCATTTTTTTTCATAATATGATTTTTCTAATTATTTTTCATATAAAAGTATTAAGATAGTTGTAAAGAAATTAATAGTTTACAAGATATTTCATATTTTATTCTGGCACATTTTGGCGAAATATAAAATACCTCATAAACTGTTCATTTTTTGGTAACTGTACCTTTAACACTTTTATGTACAGAATAATAAAATGAATCAATTGGTGTAAAAAAATTGTTGCTTGGCAAAAAAAATATGTAATTTGGAATATGCAACCACATGTCTTTCTTGAAAATAAGTAACAATGTGTTTTCTTTACACCAACTGATAAAATGTTGCATTACAAGAAATAAAAAAATGCTAGTATGTTTATTCTATACATTCTTAGCTATACTATAATTTTATAAAGAAAGTGAAAGTATTTACTATAATTATGTTATTCCTTATAAACAAATATACTAAAACCTTATAAACAACATACTAAAAAGTTACATATGGATACATCCAAAACATTTTTTATTATAGGGTCTCTGGTATTTTTACGCCACGCGGGGTTTTACGCCGCAGATGTCAGAAAAAATAGAAGGAATGAAGTTACTTGCTCGCAATTATTCTTTTATGTGCCTTTATGCCATATTAGTATTGTGTTGTAATTTCAGTTCTTTATTGTTAATATTAACGAAACTGTCGTGATTTGAATTGATTTCTCACCGTAGTAAGTAGCGATCTTGTGTTACAACCTACGTAAAATAATTACTGTAGGGAATGTAAAAAGTTTAATAGTTATTTCATGATACATAAGTGTAGAGGGATAGTAAATGATGGAATACAGCAAAATACAAGTCGTGCATAACACTTGTATTTTTTGTTTACCTTAATATCTTGTATATCCCTCCTGTGTTTAGGATATACGGCAAGTTAGCATGCGGGATTTAGGCCATAGTACGGATACTTTGTAAAACTCGAAATCTCCTGTGTTCTTTTTCCTTCTCTTTTTGGATCGTATAACAATAATAATCTTTAATGCACCTATCGTTCTTCTATTTCCTTTTTAAAATTTTTTAGTTTTATAATTTGTTTATCTTTCTTTCATTTTAATAAACTTCTTACACACATTTTATAACTTGTTATGAGATTTTATTACCTTATTTATAAACATTATTTTTAACTTTTTATAAGGCTTACATTTTACCCATGAATGTCATATAATCCACCCTTCTTATATATCTTCAGGATATATGGCAAAAATGCAAGTGTTTCTAAGTTTTTTTTTATTAAATACAAAAAAATCAATATTTTATGTTTCTAGTAGTAGACAGTATAAAGTTTTTATTAGTATAATTCATTTGCCTTAAGCATAGTAAATAGTACTCGATAAATTAAGTTTCCCTTAGCTGTGGCGTATATATCGAAGTTACCCTATTATGTTTTTGTAAACAGATTGAAATCAAACTGCAAGTAAATTATTCATTATTATCTAACGCCTTTAACGTTCAGCATCGACTCGTTATCTGTTATTAGTTTAGAGAAATTAACAATTTGTCACTTTTTCCCCCTTTCTCTTACATAATGTATGTACTATGTGTATAATAGGAACAACTAATAATAAAAGTTTTGATCTTTTTAATTCTAACAATAATATTAATTAACAGTAATAAAAAACATAAATACAGAATATTCTAAAAGTTAAATATGTAGTATAACAGCACTCTCTCCAATTCCTTCGAAATTTTCAAATTTTAAACAAATTTGTCGCTTATTATATAATTATAATTAATAGACTTAAAATATCACAATGTCGGCAAGTAAGGAAATGATAATTGAAATAATAGTTTATGGATATACATTTATGGATATACATTTATTTTCTATCTCGTCCTCTCCCGCCGTTTTACTTTTTTTCAGCTTTATCAGCACTCTCTCTACCTCTTCCCATCCTATCCCCTCTCCATTCTCTACTTCCCCTTCCGCCCTGCTCTTCCTTCTCTCCTTCTCCTAACCTTCGCTTGTATTCCGTTCCTTCTAACATCTCCCTTAAGTATTCATCCCACTCCTCTATTGTTATCTCCTTATTAATTTTTACTCTTCTTCTCCTTTCCTTCTTTATTACTTCCCAAACCTGCTTCTCTGTTCTCGCCTCTCTTACCTCTTCCAGCAGATTTCTCTTTTTTTCCATTTTTCTTTCACACATTTCCTTATACTCCTTCTTTCTTCTCTTATAATCTTCTTTATATTTTCTTCCTCTTTTCCAGTTTTTCAATAACTTTTCTACCTCCTTCCTCTTTTTTCTACAGTCCTCATCCCACTATCCTCTCTTTCCTTCTGCCCCTCTTTTTACTCTTCTCATACTTTCTTTCATATTAATTCTTTTTGTCAACTTTTCGATCTCTTTATTTATTGCCCACCCCTTTACCTATTTCCCCCAGCCGGAATGCTAGCGTCTTTTCGACGTCTATAGATGTCGATAGATGTCGAATCGACATCTATAAGATGTCAATTCGACGTCTATAGACGTCGGCGTTTCGGCTGGGCTACCTCCTCCTATCTTGCCTCTTCCGACCAGTCCGTCTTTTTCACCCACCTCTCTTCCTCCGCTATTGTCCCTCTCCTCTAACCACCACCCCCTTTGTCCACCCGTACTGGTACTGATTGGTGATCCAAATCTACCTCACACCCCACCTCCAATCTTGTCACTCTTTCCCAAACCTTCCTATCTTCTTTCGCGTAACTGATCACTGTTTCCCCTCTTTTTCCTGTAAATTTACCCCTCTTTCTCATCTCCCTCCTTTGCTCCATTCATAATTCCCCACCCTTCCTCTTCAACCCATCTAATTAGCCCTTCTCCCTGCCTATTTATTATTTTATCTTTCGATTTTCTTTCAACTCCCTCTTCTCCATCTCCAGCGCTCCTTTCTCCTATGTTCTCGCATTGAAATCGCTCCCACTATCCATCTCTCCTCTCTCCCTTCCTCCTCTTTCACCGATTTTATCTTACACATTATCATAAGTTGCCGCTTACGTAAACTATTGCCAATCTCCATTTTTCCTTCTTTTATTTTACTTTTCTAATCATTATACCCTCCTCTTTTATCCATTCTTCTTCCCGTTCTAACCTCTTTCTGACTCCCATCATTATCCCACCTATTGCTCTTCTTCTTCTTCCAACTCTTTCTTTCTTTACACCCTGTATCCTCCAGTTGAACTTCTTTGGCACGTTATTCTTCATCTTCTTTCGTTCCTCCTATTTCACTGATTAGTGCCATGTTTCCACCAACCCCACGAAATCCCACTTTTTTATCCTTTCCTAAAACCCTTCCTAAAACTTTTCCCTTCACTCCCGCTACATCCCAAAAGCTTTGGGTTTCCTTTCTGTTCCTTCTCCTCCTCCTCCCTCCTGCATTCCTTTCTTCCACCTCCCCCTCTTTTTTCTCTCTTTCACTCCTTTTTACTTTCCACACTCTACTTTCTCTGACTCTTTTCCCCCTTCCCCTCAGCCTCACCACACTCTCTTCCTCCCTATTCTCCCTCTCCTCCCTCTTCTCTCCACCCTCCCTCGTTTTTCCTCCCTCACTCTCTTTCGATTTCATTTTTCCGTCTCCCTCTCTTCTACTCTTTTCCTTCTCCTCTGTTCCTCTTTCTCCCACCTCCTTTTTCATGCTCCTTTCTATCATTTTCCCTTCCATCTATCAGGATTTTTTTTCCTATTCCCAACTCCACCTTTTCCCCTCTATCCAAAACTTTCCGTACTTTACCCAATCTCTCCTTCTATTCCTTCTCTCCTTCTTAACTATCCTCTTCAGGCTCCATTGCATTTTTCTTTGATGTTTTCCTTCAAGGTCATGTCATTCTTTATTCTTTCCATCCTCCCTTTCAACACATTCTTCTTTTGCATTACCTCTCTTTTTCTTACTCTATCTTTTAACCTAACTAAAACCATCTTCTCTTTCCCCCTCTTTCTTCCTATCTCTTTTACCTACTTTATTCCTCCCTCCTTCCTCATCTCTAGCCATAGCTTTTCTACCGCTTTCTTTTGCCTTCCCTCCTCTACCTACACCCCTTTCACTACTACATTGTTCCTCCTTCTGTCTCTCTCTTCTAACTCTCTCCATTTTTCTAGCTCTCTTACCTTCGCTTCCATTGCTTTATCTTTTTTTTTATCCCCCACTTTCCTTCCTCTTTCACTTCTCCCTGCCCTTTCTTCCTCCCATCTCTCCAACTCTTAACTAATATATTTAATAATAATAACAAGAGAAATAGGATCGTAACGATATACGAACAATTAGAATCAAAAGCCATGCGATCCGAGCTTAGGTCTTTGACAGCCTTATATTAGTTACTGTATACATATATGTCTATATATATACATATAATTTTTCCAACATACTGCGCGCCGATTACTTTTCGGACTTAAAACACAGTAATTGTTAGAATTAAAAACCCTTCCCTCCCCGGAATTAAATCGACTCGATTTAATTATCTAATAACTGTAAAGAAAATTTATTGCGAAAAATATTACCTCTCTCTCTCTCTCAGCCAGGGTAATATATTTAAATTTATATATTAGTTAACTTCTTTATATACACTACCGCTCATTAATTTCAATATACCCCTATATTTATTAATTTCTCTGTAAAGGACATGATGAACATGATACATATGTTTTGTACAGAAATGAATACATTTGCTGTTATAAACACTTGCACATGCATTGCATTTTTATATATTATTTATATAAAAATGCCACGCATGCAAGTAAAATGTTTATAACAGCAAGTGAATTCATTTCTGTGCAAAACACGTATCATGATGTTCATCCATTACAGAGAAATCAACGAATCTGTTGTATATTGAAATTAATGAGAGGTAGTGTATATAAAGAAGTTAACTAATATATAAATTTCAATATATTTGCAATATAATAAATATTTTTATAATATATAATACCTTTCTCTATATTGTTCCTTCTCTTTTCCTTCTTTCTTCGTTTTCTATCTCTATATCTTTCTCTCGTCTTAAATTACTTTTTACTTTTGTATAAACAGCTTAAGGTATCGATACAATAAATAATACTATAAAAGCTACATTTGGATGGAACGGTAATAATTTACACAACCTATTATACCTCTATAATTATGTTAAAATCATAATAGCGTAATGAAAACGATTCATAGGAATAAATGTGATAGTATTTATGAAATAAAATTAAGTATGAAATATACATTTAAGAAATATTACTTTAATGATCATATTATCTTACGCGTTATTAACATTCCATACAGGCAAAGCAAATAGATATACCTTTAAACAGGATACCTTTAAACAATTGTTTCATTTTTTAACATTTTTCAGATATATTGTAATATAATCGTATAATCGTCATATTTTTTTACACAGGAATACTAACGCAAAATTATTCGGACATTGTCACGACTAAAATTAAAAAATCAGATGAAGGGTTAGGTAATGTACATATTTTTAATTTACATATCTCTCATTTACTACCGACCATCATTTCATAATGATACATTTGCAACGAAATAAATACGCCAATACTTAAAACGTATATCTGTAATCTAAACACAAGTTTTTATATTCTGGAAACGATACAAGTGTCTTAAAATACTTTTTACTTGTTTCTAACCAGCATAAAATATCGATACTATCCGAATAGTATAAAAGATACATTTGGATGGAACGATAACAATTTAGACACCCTACCTCTATAATTATGTTAAAATCGTCAGATATACTGTAATATAATCGTCATATTTTTTTTCACAGAAATACTAACGCAAATTATTCGGACATTGTCACTAAAAAATTAGATGAAGATAGTTTGGAATCATACAAAGATACTGTTTAGTTAATGTACACATCTTTTTAATTCACATATCTCTCATTTACTACCGATCATCATTTCATAATGATGCATTTGCAACGAAATAGATACGTCAGCAACATTCGAAACCATCGACTGGAAAAAGCATTCTTCTTGGTCTATTCGTTGTGACGGATAAAATCGTATAATTTCAGCACTCAGCAGTGGATTCACTTCAATTGATGCGATTTCAAGACAGAGCTTAACTCAATGAATCCTCGTCGTTATTAAATATGCTTACAAGGCCTGTGAATAGCGCTAATTTCCCTGCCATGCGCATATCTTTCTTTTTCGTGGCTGTATCCTGATTAGGCATCATCTCGTCCGCAATATGCTTATAGACTTTTCCATTCAGCATTAACGTAAAAAAGCCGTCGTACCATCTGAAATCGTTATATATAATTGTCTCGTTATAATCAATTTTATAATAAGTGTTTCCTCTCCGATAGCATAAACAAAATTAATTTTAGGAAATCTAAATTATTTTATCATTTTCTGAAAGTAGAATAAAAAACGAAACTAAAAATCAAGTTCTTTTCAAATAATAGACAACTTGAATTAATTATAATTAATGTTTATAAGAACAATTTTATATTACTATTAAAAGGAATGTTTAGAGCACTGATTACACTTACATTTTCTGGTTAGCGCTTATTTTATGACATGTTGTATTTTCCAAATTTTACTTCCAAAACACAGAAAATACCTTCCAGCCTGTGATGACACCACGTATACGCCAACGAACCTGCACGGTATCGTTTTCAGAATGCATTGTGATCTTTAGGATGTCAAGCTTGACGTGTGCAAACTTCATATGACCAATGAACCTTAATAGTATCAATTGCTTCGCATAACTCACAAGTCCCCTGCAATATTTTTTAAGCATATTATGAGAAAATGGAAATACTTAATGCTAAAAACTCTCAATTGCTTTAAATACTTAATAAAATTAATTTTCGTTACTTCTCTAATATTGATGATAAAAATTATATCATAATGGATAATAGGGACTCAATTCACAACTATTTTAACATAAAAAACTTGCCTTCAATACAAATTGCGCTACAGAACACTTTCTCGTTCTTTTCAACTTTTACAATTTACAAGAAAGCATATGTATACGTATGTACATACATGTGCAATTTTGGATACACCTTCCTTCTTAAAGATCTTTTCGGTATCAGCTTCCTGCGGTCAATATATAGCGGCAAAATTGTATACCATGTAGTTGAATATAAAATTTTCCTGCGTGAGAAAACGAGAGAAAAGGAGGACATTTATAATAGGTAATGACACACGATGCAAACCACGCAATAGTGTAAATTCGGGATTGGGGGAAGAAAGAAGGGGTAAAGGAGAAGAGATTCTTACAATTAAAGGCACTCTGTAGCAACTCGTATTATCTAGCACAAGAGGACCTCTTGTGCTAGACAATTATGCTTCAACAGTGTCTGACAATGAGAATTATTATATTTTGAAGACGCGAGATTGTACATTCAAAGCATCTAAGTTAACGAAAGTAAAGTACAATTTAAACATACTTCGGAGAAATCTTTATTACGCGATAGTGCCTGTCACAACGTGCACATAGATACAGATCACTTTCTCGTTCTCCTAACTTTTACAACTTTTACAAGACAGCATATATGTATACGTACGTGTGCGATTTTGGATACACCTTCCTTCTTAAAGAAAATCGGCATCAGCTCCCTGCCGTCAATATATATTTCACTATATCACTATATCTATCACGCGGCAATGGTCACGACTGTCACTATCTATTTATTTCTAGGTTATCGCTGCATTCCAGCATAAATCAGTCTTTTTTAACAGCTTCATGCGTCTGTGATTGAGAAAGAAATCTGATAAGTACCAGCTCAATATAATGCAACATATACATATACGAATATGTATATATATTTTAGATAAAAACAGTCAGTAAACTTTTATGAAACAATATTCTTTGAAATAATACAAGCAATAATATAATTTTTATAATTACCTCTCTATATTATATCTTAAATGTGCATGAATTTTCTTCTAACGATATTTGTAATGTCATCAACTTTTCACGCTTGTTGAATATATTTGCACCATGATCACCAATAGCTAATCCCATCATATCTTCTCGAATATTTTAAATTTATCGGTGTGTCTAAAATAAGACAAATTTTACATAATGCAAATGCAAAAACAGTAATTATTACTTACGTCTGCTTATATATAATATACGATATATGTATAAAATATACGATTACAAAGATAAATCTGTATCAAAAATCTATAGTTACTGTAACGTATACCAGATTAGATTTGTACAAGCAAGCAATAAATATTGAAACATTACAAATGACGTTAAAATATATTAATATGTAAAATATAATTTATATATATATTTATATAAATAATCCCACTAACCTCGCGCAACCGATGCCAGCTGTCACATCACACGACACATACATATTTATATAAATAATCCCACTAACCTCGCGCAACCGATGCCAGCTGTCACATCACACGCCACATACACATATGTACATATATACATACATACACGCACGCAAAACTCGCAGCTCGATCTCGATCGCCGCATCGTATCGACCGTACGCACGCATCGGCCAATCACGCACGCGGAAAAGCGGCAACAATACTACTCGACCACGGGCCAACTTCTCGCGTCTACATGGATTTTTTTATTATAGACTAGAACAACACAGGCGCGCGCTACGCGCGCGCTTTTATTTTATTTCACGAATGAAACAACACAGGCGCGCGCTACGCGCGCGCCTTTATTTTGTTTCACGAGTATAAAAAACACAGCACAAGAAGATCTTGCTGCGAAATTATGAGATAAATTTACTGGCATGCTGTCGGCATACTGCCAACATTTTGCTACGTGGGGTAAAACAATTGTGAAGCAACACACAGTAACAGACTACGAAGGTAGAAAACAAAAGGTTTCGAGTTTAAATCCTGATCGACTCTGTTAATTTTTCCGTTTACCCCTCTTGCAGTCCAAAATTTCCTTCTGTATTTTTCCTCCACCCTCACTACACTCCTTGTTTACTCGTATATTTCCATGATCCTCTTTCCCAACCTTTCACTCACCCCTGGTTTTTCCAGACATTTTCCCAAAACCCTCCTGTCCACTGAATCAAATGCCGCCCTTGGATCTACAAAAGCAGCCACTACCTTCTTTTTCCTCTTTAATCGCTTCCTTATCGCATAATTCAGTGTGTAAATGTTGTCCACCACTTCTCTCTTCTTCCTAAACTCTGCTTGGTTTTCTGAAATCATCCCCTTCTCCACTATCTCTTTCCTCAACCTATTTGCTAATATCGACGCGTACACTTTGTACGCCGTCGGCATCAGCGTAATCCCTCTATGCTCACTCACCTCTTTTGCCTCTTTTTTTCGCTATCGGAACGACTACTCCGTCCTTTCACGCTTCTGGAAAACACTCTCTTTTCCATACTCTCCCATAACGTTTTTCTTAAACCACTTCCCCCATAACTCCACACTTCCTATCTCGTCCTCTCCCGCCGCTTTACCTTTTTTCAGCCCTTTCAGCACTCTCTCTACTTCCTCCCATTCTATCTTCTTCTCTTTCTCCACTTTCCCCTCCAACCCCTGCTCTCCCTCCTCTCCTTCTCCTAGCCTTCGTTTGTATTTCGCTCCTTCTAACATCTCCCTAAAGTATTCATCCCACTCCTCTAATGTTATCTCCTTATTAATTTCTACCTTTCTTCTCCTTTCCTTGTTTATTACTTCCCACACCTGCTTCTCTGTTCTCGCCTCTCTTGCTTCTTTCAGCAGATTTCTCTTTTTTCTTCATTTTTTCTCACACATTTCCTTATACTCCTTCTTTCTTCTCTTATGATCTTTGTGTTTTCTTCCTCTTTTCCAGTCTCTTAATAACTTTTCTACCTTCTCCCTCTTCTTCCTACAATTCCCATCCCACCATACTCCCTTTTCTTCTGCCCCTCTTTTTACTCTTCTCACCCTTACTTCCATCTTCCTCTTTATCTATTGTCTCCCTACCTATTTCTACCTCCTCCGTCCTTCTTCTAAACTCCTCTCTTACTTCTTTCGACCAATCCGTCTTTTTCACCCACCTCTCTCCCTCCGCTATTGTCCCTCTCCTCTCACCACCACCCCCTTTGTCCAACCGTACTGCTATTGATTGGTGATCCGAATCTACCTCACACCTCACCTCTAATCTTGTCACTCTTTCCCAAGCTTTTCTATCTTCTATTGCGTAATTGATCACTGTTTCCCCCTTTTCTCCTGTAAAAGTCACCTCCCCCTTCTCATCTTCCTCCTTTGCTTCGTTCATAATTTCCCATCCTTCCTCTTCCACCCATCTAATCAGCCCTTCCCCCTACCTATTTATTATTTTATCTTTCGATTTTTTTTCAACTCCCTCTTCTCCATCCTCCAGCGCTCCTTTCTCCCCTGTTCTCGCATTGAAATCGCCCACCACTATCCATCTCTCCTCTCTCCTTTCCTCCTCTTTCACCGATTTTATCTTACCCATGATCTTGTCCAAGTTGCCGCTTACGTAAACTGTTGCCAATCTCCATTTCTCCTTCTTCCATCTTACTTTTCTAATCATTGAACCCTCCTTCTCCTCCCATTCTTCTTCCTCTTCTAACCCTTTTCTGACTCGCATCATTATTCCACGTATTGCTCTTCCTTTTCTTCCAACTCTTTCTTTCTTTGCACCCTGTTGAACTTCTTTGGCACCTTATTCTTCATCTTCTCCCATTCCTCCTGTTCCAGCTACGTCTCTACCAACCTCACGACATCCCACTCTTTTATCTTTTCCCAAAACCCTTCCTGTTTTCCCTTCACTCCAATCAACGCAGAGTGTTGATAAGAAGAGTGTTGAACTCAACAATTGTATCTGCTAAACGCGCAAATTGTCATGGAGGGAACCCGGGGCACAGTATAAAGCCTCTTGCACAAGCAACAGACAATAGAAACAAGGAATAGAAATCAGAAATCATGTATAAATGCAGTATAAACAATGATACATTCCGTCACGTTGGAAACTCTGTGCCTATTGCTTGTTGTCAACCAGTCATAGCATTCAAATTTTTTAGGTTGTAATTGTAACGATTTTTTGGTTATTTCCTGTTCCTATTGCCCTGTTGCCTGGCATTTGTGCAAGGGGCTTAATCAGTATGTTCACTCTCTGTCGGCACCTTTCATCTTTTGGTTTCCGATTTTCCGCCATGTTTCTCGGTGGACCATCGACGTATCAACGGTTAAAGGGCCTCGGGTTGTACCTATACAAGTAACACTACCCAAATGTCATACGCCGATTTTTTTGAAACTATGCACACATGTAAAACTTCGAAAAATATTTGTGTCGTGTTTTTTAATTTTTGCTTATGAAGCGTTTAGAGTAGAAACTACCCCCGAAATATTAACCTTCTCAATTCTATGTATAACAATTCTTTAGGCCATGCACGTCGATTTGTTGTAAAAATACGAACCAGAAAACCTTGAAAATTCCTAGAGATAGTATTCTGGTGCAAAAACCATTTAGGATAACGTATATAGGATTGAGAAGGTTAATATTTCAAGAATAGTCCCTACTCTTAAAACGCTTCATAAGCAAAAATAAAAAAATACGACAAAAATATTTTTTGAAGTTCTACATGTGTATACAATTTCAAAAAAAATGGCCTGTGACACTTGAGTAGTGTTACTTGTTAGATGTGCAAAAGAACTGTATACATTATTCACTCTTATTAGGAATGGCCTAGGTAGAAGCACAATAAAAGATTATATATAAATGTGCGATTACTGAATAGCAATGTTTCGATGAATTGCTCGAATGCTAATTATATCTGAAATAACTATTATAAATTATAAAATTAAAGTGGAAATTATAAAAAAAATAGTCTAATTATTATTTATTGTTAAAAATTTTATATTCGTAGTAAAGTTTAATTAAAATTAATAATACAAAAATAATATAATTTTTGTAAATTTACATTTATTCTGTTCTATTTACAGTTATCTGTACAGCGATATATACATATTTGTTTAATACATTTACATGTATACATTTCATATGTTTACATATACGGCGGTATTCATTCGTGTTTCCAAATTTTCTGTATCGTATCAATTTCTTTTTTATGCGCTTCGCATAAAGCCTCATCCGGTTTTGAGAATCAGACTTATTATTCATGCCTCTATAAGTGTACAATATATTCTGAAACCGAAATGTAAAAAAAATTCTTAATTACTGAAATACAATTATGATAACGTATTCCGCTACATGTATCTCGCTCGATATAATATTTACCTGTACACAATAATAAAACACGTTGACTCTTTCTGTAGATGTGTTATTCATCACTTTCAGACACCAAGGCAAGCTGATTCAGCAAACATGACAGAATCGTGTCAATTTCTTTCTTATGCGCCTCGCATAAATTCTCATCCGGTTTTGAATCAGGCTTATTATTCTTGCCTCTGTAAGTGTACAATATATTCTGAAATCAAAATATAAAATAAATTTTAAATTATTGAAATATGTGCGTGATAACATTTTGCTACATGTATTTCGCTCGATATAATATTTACCTGTACACAATAATGAGACAGGTTGACTTTCTTTGTAGACGTGCTGTTCATAATTTCCAGACACCAAAGCAAGCCAATTTAACAAATATGACAGAATCGTATCAATTAATTCTTTCTTATGCGCCTTGCATAAAGTCTTATTCAGTTTTGTGTCAGACTTATTATTCTTATCTCTGTAAGTGTACAATATATTCTGAAACCAAAATGTAAAATAAATTCTTAATTACTGAAATACAATTATGATAACGTATTTCACTACATGTATTTCACACAATATAATATTTACCTGTACACAATAGTGAGACGCGTTGATTCTTTCTGTAGATTTGCTGTTTATCATTTCCAAACACCAAGACATACCGACATTTTCATAACGGATGTTATGAAAATTTTGATTACAAAGATGAAATCAAGGAAAAAGAGATGTTTAAAACAATACTCTTTCCCAATCCCCAATTCTCAATCCCCAATCCTCAATCCCCAATCCCCAATTGTGTATTTATGTATTGTATGTATGTAATATGTCATTGTGTGTGTGTCCGCAATGGTGAACTTGGGTTCGTAGGTTTAAGAATTATGCGGATTAATCTTCCCTGCAGTCAATATATATTGCAGATCACTATCCTTATTAGAAGGGTATTGACACTCCTGTGAAAATCTATGCGTGTCCACTGATCAGTCTAATAATTTAAATAATTAATTTTTATTTAATAATTCAAATTAAAGCAAATTTTAACGTAAAAATATAAGTCAAAGATGATTTTAATCTAATAATCTAAGTAAGTTAAAGTTAAATTCAATTTAATAATTCGAACAAAAGTTCCAATAATTCAAGTCAAAACTAATTTTAATTTAATAATTTAAGTCAAAATCAATTTCTATCAAATCAAGATTATTTTTACTTCAATA